AAACAAGCGGTCAGCGAGATGACTTCCCTGCAAGGATCTACTTGGACCTGCATCCAGGGAGAGGTGCAAGGAATCACACACTGAACTTTATTGTGGAAACAAGCGGTCAGCGAGATGACTTCCCTGAATGGATCTACTTGGACCTGCATCCAGGGAGAGGTGCAAGGAATCACACACTGAACTAGATTTTGGAAACAAGCGGTCAGCGAGACGACTTCCCTGAGTGACTTCCCTGCAAGGACCTACACAGACCTGCACCCAGCTGTGACACCAGTCAGGGGGAAGGTATGCCTGCATACCGCCTACTGTGGTATATCCCCAGCTGCTGACAGTGGCTAACCACCTGGACATGATGCAGCCAACACCAGGAAACACACAGCCTGCATACATCCAGGATACACATGGGCTCCCTGATAAGCTTCATGGTGATGTTAGCCGGAGAATACATCTCAATACACTTTAGTCCCTGTTGCTAATTTGCTTAACTGATCAACCTTTTCACTCTTAATCAGAGTATGTAAAGTTTTACGCCAAAGTACCTGACAAGGAGCATGGATCATATACATGTACTGTAATAGCAACGTTTTGGTATAGATCCTTATACACTGGTCAAGCAAGGCTGACAGCTTGTTGCTATTACATCATAATCAAGAAGTTCATTCACAGGGTTAGAAAGTAACAGTTTTTGTCCACTAGTCCTTATAATGATAACATAGAGCAAAACCCCCAAAATGGAGCGATTTCTACTAGTCCTTAGGATACCTTTACTATTGGGCAGTTTGGTAAGGACTACAGGACTAGTGCCAATTTCTAACACTGATTCATAAGGTTTTTGTCTACTTTGCAGTACTAAACACCATTAGTCAAAACCCTCTAGTCCACAGCTTCGAGTAAGATAATTAAGATTTTCAGAGAAAACAACTGGCCCCCTATATTTTCATTAGTCTCAGACAAACGGGCCTGTGATGTCTGTCGCTGATCAACTGGACAGAAGTGCTCAGCCTGGTAAAAGGGAATCACAGAAGATTTGTTTGTTGTTTAACGCCACACTCAGCAATATTCCAGCTATATGATGGTGGTCTGTAAATAATCAAGTCTCGATCAGACAATCTAGTGATTGATATCACGAGCATAGATCTACGCAATTGGGATATGATGATCTGCATCAACCAAGTCTGCGAGCCTGAACACCTGATCCCATTAGTCGCCTCTTACGACAAGCATGGGTTGCTGAAGACCTATTCTAACTCAGATCTTCACAGGTTGAATCACAGAAGAGGTGAACATGCTACAACCTCATTCACCACTACACCCTGTTACTACACACTGAGGCAGCACTTACAGTAGACTCACATTAAGGTCAATTTCAAGAGTTTCCCAGAATAAAAACTAGAACCCACTTTGCAATATGAGACGGAATAGTGTTTGAAATCCGTCTGAAATATTTCACACACCTCCTACATAGCAGCTTAATTTGAGCTACCCCCAACACAATGCACCGATAATTGGTTGACATATTCCATCATGAATATTTCACCTACTTACATGACACAAGACTAACACATTTTCACATAATGACATCAGTGGCTTGTGAGACAATAGAAATACATGCCATCCATCACCACACTGAAGCCGCTTAGAGGCAGGGGCTGTGGAAGGTTGTCAGTTCTTCATATACACATGGCACCTCGATTCAACAACTGCCGGGTACACAACACAGTTGCATACACATCACCATAGAAAATATGAAGTACATCATGTTGTCGGATGCAGCCAATATAATGCTCATCTGGTGCAAAAGAGAATAGTTGTCTGTTCATTATTGTATGGAATAGTATTCAATACCCATTGATCTTATCAAATATCATTGTTTTCTATTGATTGGCTCTGCAGGTTCTGTATCTGTGATTGTTCCTAACACAGCTTCATGGAACACAATTCTAAAAACATCACTCAACCATATATACTATGAATATTATATTATATAATATTGTGTGTGTGTGTATGTGTGTGTGTCAACAACAGGGATACAAGGCTTAATTTGAGAATCATTTTACACCAGGTTGTTCACTTGAAGCTGATTTATCCCTTGTCCTTCATAATTTAACTCCCTAAGTCATCCGAGAGGAGCCAATATTTCAAATACTTAAAGAGTTAAGTGAGTGAGTGAGTATTGTTTTACGCCGCTTTTAGCAATATTCCAGCAATATCTCAGCGAGGGACACCAGAAATGGGCTTCACACATTGTACCCATGTCAGGAATCGAACCCGGGTCTTCGGCGTGACGAGCGAACGCTTTAACCACCAGGCTACCCGACCGCCCCTAAAGAGTAAAGAAATCAAAGGTACTTAAAGATTGAGGCTGCTGTAATCCTCGACCAACACCATACCCCTCCGACATCTGACTTTGGCAGAAAAGTGTTATTAACCCAAAACAAAAATATATTGGCCCTAAGCACTTTTGGCCCTGACGACTGCATGTCTGTATTCAGCTGTCCTGTGTGCTCCAGGAGAACACATGGTTTCACATGATAGACTGTGGACATGAATCATCACACCTAGTAGGCTAGGTGTTTGTAGCACTGTTAATGAGACAGCCGGGATCAACACGGACATTCCTGGACACAAACAAACACTCAGGCTCCAGTAGGTACACTTACATTAATTCCTCAACAAACTCTGACCACAGATTAACTGATGGGAAACAACCGGTGCCAGAATCACTACTGTTCCTGGGCTCAAGGACACATCTGGTCAAAGACTGATAGATTGGTGAAAATGGGCAACATCACGTGTGTGATATTTCTGGTGTTTACTGCAGGTACACTCGCAGCAAGTCGTCAACACTGACCAAAGGGTCAACAATTAATGAAACAGAAGTGTTGCTACTGTTTGGCATCGGTAGGGTTCTCACACATGGCAATGATGAAGTCAAAGACTCACAAATCTATCAAACAGAGGTTGGGGGTCTGAATCAGGTTTAAATGGGGATGTATTCGGTTATCACTCTTTTCATGTGCATAGAACTCTCATTCAAATATTGAGGGGGACCTGTGTGTCATGCTTCATTTGATGTCAAGGAATTGTATAAATGATATATCAAATTATTCCACATGCTAAATAACCATATAGCCTATTAGAGGCGACGATATTAATGTCAAACTGAAGAATATAAACCACTGAATATTGTATTTCTTACCCGAATACAACTGTCGGCCATATGTAATATGCAATTCATAGTTTTTATATATATTGTTATTCAAACAGCTATCCATTTTGACATACCACAATACTCACAGGATCCGTAATGCAAATTGTTTGGTCAATTTATGTTGAATCCGGTAAAACCTTGATTTAAGAACAGTGGAAATGACTTAAACTGAGTTGGAACTAGTACTAACAACAGATATAACGAATTCAAAGGGACCACTAATTTTAGTTTGTTATAACTAAAGTTTGTTATAAGCATAAATACAGTATGTATACAGCAAACGGACAGGACCAAAAACAGTTTGATTTATCCTTCAGTTCGTTTTATACATAGTTTACTGTATCTTATCATAATCTCTACACAGACAAGCACTGATGACAGCAGAACACACTATGTCGAGCTTCCCACATGAGGATGGTTTGGTGCTTGCTAGGAGTGTCCTAGATATAGCAAGATGTTTCCAGCAAGAAATGTAGCAGATTTAATGACAATCAAAAATTCCACATTACTGAGCAGTCAGCAGTCTTCGCCATATTAACGGGTGTTAAACGTAGGAGCAGATGAAGGATTGGTGTGGACAAAACGGGAAATGATGCCAAATTGTATTTTAAAACTTGTGCGTGCATTGTATCCAAATCCACTGAACAAAAAAACATTCGACATATGCAGGTCTAATGATCAAACTCAGTTTTGGGTGTGAAAATTATGTGAATGAAAAGAAAATCCGAAACTAAAACTGTCTTGGAATACGTGTATTGGATTTTTCGTTTATCTAAGTATAATATGTCACATATATCAACATATATAACAATGAACATAACCAACTGATAAATAAGTAACGAAACCAAACTAGATGTTTTGACCTACATCAGGCCTATCTAGGTAATATTGTTGTCAAGGTAAGAAACATTGGCACAACTTCTGGTGTTAAATTTACCCAAACTGTTGTGCTTCTGTTCTCCCGTAAATATACACACCACAATACAATTTGACCACAATGCATCGAATGTGTCTCATGTACACATGACCATGTGCGTTGCTGTTTGAGTGAGTGAGTGAGTGAGTGAGTGAGTGAGTGAGTGAGTGAGTGAGTGAGTGAGTGAGTGAGTGAGTGAGTGAGTGAGTGAGTGAGTGAGTGAGTGAGTGAGTGAGTGAGTATGGTTTAACACCGCATTTAGCAATATTCTAGCAATGTCACGACGGGGGACTCCAGAAATGGGCTCTACACTTTGTACCCATGTAGGGAATCGAACCCGGGCCTTCAGCATGACGTGCAAATGCTTTTACCACTAGGCTACCCCACCCCTAAATAAGCTCTGCCCACGGGGATTGATGCAGACGTTCTAAGACGATCGTTTCGATTTCTTCAAGTCTAATGATAAAACTACAAATAATGTATTGACTTAGCCTTAAATCTTGATATTGAGCCACTTGTGGTATCCAAGGTTTGTCATTCAAGTTGATACCAAGCTTGATGGTCTTGGGTGATCTTGTTTATGCACGGTTATCAAAAAGCTTCTCTTGATACCCAGTTTTGTTTACATTGTCAGTCAGTGTTCGAAACTGTAACACGGCCACCTTGCAGGCTATTTATAATCAGGGTAGGGCTTTTAAGTCTGTAATTCTTAACATTAGACATGTATGGGTTATGACAAGGACCTCTTGATTTTACAAATGTTACATAATTACCAAAATCTACTAAAATAATGAAACATGATGTCAAATGAATGGTGGACAGGCTATAAATGTTTTACACACACTGTGGCACCTCTCAATGTTAAGTACCCACCTCCAGTACTGGCCCTGCCCCAAGGATGGTCTGCTCCACCCCACTTCCATGTAGCCCCTTGTGGCTGAGGGCTGTCAGGTGATGAAGCAACAGGTTGGTACTCTCCGTCTTCCCTGAACCCGACTCTCCAGATATCACTATACACTGGTTCTGCTTAGTCCTCAACATGGTGGAATATGCTGCATCTGCTATTGCAAAAATGTGTGGCGGTAATTCCCCTAGCCACTTATTCTGATACATTTTCACATATTTGGGATTATATATAGGGAAGAACTTGAAAGGATTCACAGCTATAAGGATTGATCCTACATAGGTATAGATGTTGGCATTCTCAAATCGAGCTTTTATATTTTCCAATAATGTTTTCTCGTTCAGATCTGGCAGATTGCACAAATCTGTGTATTCCTTATTGCTTGTTGGCTGTTTCAGAAAGGAACTCAAGAATGAGTCTACTACACTGGCATCTTTGCACTCAACCCATCCGGAAACCTTTTGGGTTTCGGGATCTGCCTTTCTGATGTAGAATCGGTATCCTGTGTAAAGACCTTGACCTCTATCAATTTCAGCATTGATGACCTTCGGCCAAAGAAGCTGTACTCGAACCGGGTTATCCATTGGGTCCAGTCTTCTTTCCTTACACAACTGACCTCCAGATGAAAACACTTCAGCAAGTTCGTAATTGTGGGGGTTGTTCCCCAACTTCAACTTGCGAACGGCAACTTTGACAACATCACACGCAGGAGTGCCTTTTTCCGCTTCTACACTGACAAACTCGGTCTCTTGGCTCAGAGAACCTGTGTAAATTCTGACCATAAAAGTTTCCATGCTACTAAGCTGGCGCAGAATTTGAACCCTTGAAGGACAGATGTCATAGTTGGTGGCCATCGTTACTTCACGGAGCTGAACATGCTGTAATACACTGCTGGCAATGGCCCACACACACAGCCCTCTATATAGGGTAAGGTCATGATACACCCCTTGCTACATCTTAGTTACATCTGAAACAGAAAAAGACACATTACATAAACAAATATAAAAGAAATGACTTAAGCTAAATCAGTAACTACATGAAATTTTATGTTTTGTTTGTTTGCTTTTTAATGGCAAACTGCAATTATTCCAGCTACTTGAAAAGTCTTTAAATCATCAAGTCTTGACCAGACAATCCTGTGACTGACATGATGAGCATCGATCTACGGAATTGGAACACTGAATGCATGAACTATGTCAGCAAGCCTGACCACCCGATCGTGTTAGTCGCCTTACGACAAGCAGGGTTGAAGTTTTCCCAGGTGGCCATGCTAATAAACAGTTTGTATTGTAATTTTGGCTGCTACAATACGTATTAATACTATTGTGCAATCAGATTACCATTTCATTTCATGATAGGTGGTAAATATATAATGTCAATGCAAGAGAATAACCAGTCTACATTATACACCAAATAGTTTCCAATAAGCGTTACGGGCAAAATAGCTGTGAAAATTACATAGACTACTGAAAATCAGTGACACCAGGTGTTAGCGAAAAGGGTAAGCATGTCCTGCCCTATCGATATCACCTACCATTCCCCAATTGCAGAGAAAAGTAATTATTTATGTAAGGTAATGCTAGACAGAGTATTTTAAATTATATTGAGGGAAACAAAGAAGGGAACACATGAAAATACAAGTGCTCCTTTATTGTTTTCCAGGTTTTGTTCCCAAGCTATGGATGTCACTATGGGTAAAAATCTGGGGAAAAATAAAGGGACACTCCAATGAAATGGTGTTCCCTTATTTGTTTCCCTCAGTATATATTGGTTTGGTATGGTTTCATTACAAACTAACATATTTATCACTTTTTGAAAATCGATAAGATGTGAAAATATGAATCAATTCATGGGCAGGCATATAGTGCACTGTATCGTCAGGATAAATATTCAACATATCAATGAATCTTGACATCCCTCTCAACACACCTACTCCATGACCACCTACCTAAAACCTGTGGACTTTCAGTTTTCTCCCTTCAAAGACATACAGTAACATTTCCAGTAATTGTACGAAAAACACTGGGCCAAAATCAGTTGTAAAAAGTGGGATTGACAAATGATGTTAAAGCCAGTCATCTGAATGGGTAATTCGTAGATACTAACAATCACCCTTCTACAAAATATGAATCATGTGTTAATGTTGAGACATCTAGGTCACCTGTAACTAAACGTTATCCTGGGTACTGAACATAAACAGAATTATTTTCCAGAAAGGAATTAACTTCCTAGATGAAGCATATATATCATCCTGCTTATCTGTCAGGATGCCACCACCCAACAAGGAAGTTAATTCACAGCAGAATCACTTCTGTACTGTTACAGAAACTGGGACATTTACACATTGCAACGCAGAACACAAACAGTAAAGAAACTACAATAAACACAACCTACCAGTAGTAACTATTGTCTGGAAATATACAGTTCTGTTAAACTGATTATTGATTAAATAAAATTACAAGACAATTGATGATAGAGCTAAAGATTGATCGAAATGTCTACATAATACATTGCAATGGCTCGATGAAAATATACTACTCGAAAGAAGTTAAAATACCACCAGTTATTTCACACAACTAGACTTAATCTGTCACGTCATAACAGATTACTAAATAGTCATATGAAAAAATTGGATGTTCTTTAACTTCTTTTGAGCAGTATACATGCATAGGAAGTAAAACTATCAACATTGAAACCATGTTTGGATATTGATAGCTCCTCCAGTTCTTATCAATGAAATGAAAAAATACTATTTTTTTTTGGCTTTTTATATAAAATAAACCTTGTCTGAAGAGACCTGTCCGTGTCAGTATCCATTTCACATCATCCTACATCACAAACAGTTCAACAGTCGGTTAACTCTCCAACACCCAGGACTAAGCAATACAATCTCCAACTGCTGTAATTGTTGAACTGCTTGTCCTCACCTCACACAGTTATCAGCAACACTGATAACATAAGGAAGTATGTTATCAATGAATATCATGTTCATAGATAAGTCATACAACAGGCCTTCTATCTCTGTCAGTGTATACATACCAACACTACTTGGTAGAGATACAACGCACACTGCCTCCCAAGACAACAAAATGTGTCCTGCTTGTTTTACGGTCTGTAAATAATAAGTCTTGACCAGACAATCCAGTGATTGACATGCATGAACCAAATTGGTGAGTCCGTTGCGGACCATGCGATCCCATTAGTCGTCTCTTATGACAAGCATAGTCGCCTTGTACGGCAAACATGGGTTGCTCAAGACCTATTCTACCGCAGATCTTCACGGGTCTCAATATAAGACAGAGCACAAGATAAAGTGAGGTGAAATTTGGTTTAACATCACGTCCAAGATTATTGCACTTATATAGCGATGTGCATGCACGTATTTGTGTGGCAGCTTGTACTAGTCCGGACTGATGCCGATGCTAGCTCACTGAGATACCATGCCAGTTTGACATGAATACCCCATTCAGACACAGTATACTCCGAGCCGACCAGTCCTTGTTTTCACCCCTTAATGCCAAGCGCCAGACAAAGTAACAACAAGTACTATCTTTTAACGTCTTTTGGTATGACGCGGCCGGGGATCGAACCCCGGACCTCCTGCTTTCCGGGCGGACGCTCTACCACTAGGCCACGGGGGTGGTTCACAGAGAACAAGAACTGTTAGGCACTTGTATATTGTTTGTTTGAAGCAACGTCTTAAGTATCCTTCTTGTACCCATCATGTCCATACTTTGATATCATGCCTGTACATAGTCAGGCAAGTAATAAAAAAATATTGTTTTTTAGCATAGAAACCGATCCAGGGATTTGCCTTTCTATTTCTATCACAAGGTTAATTTCTTTTCCATACTACACCCAAACTAGTTGGAAACTAGGACTCTCACTAACAACCACCTCACTTCACACACCTCCCCTCCAAGCTCAAGCCTTGGTAAGTCCCCAGCTGTTGTGATGATAGCACACATACACAAAGTACATCATGTTCGTGTTAAAACAACCATCACTGACCTCTACCCTGGCCTTTTAACCCTGACATCAATTAGTCACAATCTGTGTAATACCCCCATCCAACCCAACAACCCATGTACTACATCCTCGATCCACTAATTAAATCATACACAAAGTTCAAAGGCATCTACTACTTCAATAGGCTTGGTGCGGAGGAGGAAACTGTCTCCTTTAACACTTCACTAAACAGGGTAATTGGGCTGCATATTGTGTCTTGATGTTTATTTCTCCAACTTTTATTTCAGACTTCCAAAACACATGCTACCCGTCAGTTTTGTTTAAATCATATCTGGGATCATACAATAGATGTGCAGGTTTACACAGGTCGTATTGAGGGAATAGTCAAGCAGCGTTACAAATTGGCACTAGTCCTGTAGTCCTTGCCAAACTGCCCAGTAGTAAAGGTTTCATAAAGAGCAGTAACAATTTGCTAGTTTTAAGGGCTTTGCTACATGTTATCATTATAAGGACTAATGGACTAAAGATGTTAGTTTCTACCACTGATAGTGAAGTGTTAAACAACAAACAACACCAACAGTAGTCCATGTATTAAGTGGCCTGTTATTATGCATAACTCCCAAGTTCTCGCATGTACCGTAGATCAGACTTTTTGAAAACTTGGTATACAAATCCAACAACTCGAAAAAATTGAAACATGAAATATGAGAAAATAAAAAAATAAAATGGTTTTTTTATTCAGTCAATCAGAAATAAGTAAAATGTTAAATAAAAACGTATTCACTGTCGCTACCAATACAGATAAATGATATAAATCACCATAATTCAAACTTGTTATACATGTATCTTAAAAACTTCATAACAAAAAATAACAAATTTCTATTCCTCCCACCCCATCTCTTACTCGTGTTGAAGTTGTTTGGGTTGGCAAGTTCACTGGAACTGTCTAAAGCAGTATTTGACATTTACATTTATTGGTGGTTCCAACTGCAGGGGAACTGTTCTCTTCATAAGAGGTTTGCAGTGGTCAGAGATTGCACACAAAACATGTGATCAATTATTATTTTAAAAATAAAAGTTCCCTTCATTTTGCATGATGTTTTTAGAATATTTTTTTAATTTCCTGAACAATTATCACGATCAAACATGTCAAGCATGGAACAATAAGGCAAACAACCGAAATATTCACAAAATAATTATTTTTATTGTATTTTCTCATAATGAATACGGACTGGGGTCTGTCAAATCCGTAAATCCAAGACCCGTGAAGATTCCGGGGTAGAATAGGTCTTCAGCAACCCATGCTTGCCGTAAAAGGTGACTATGCTTGTCATAAAAGGCGACTAACGGGATCGGGTGGTCAGGCTCGCTGACTTGGTTGATGCATGTCATCGATCCCAAATGCGTGGATTGATGCTCATGACATCCATCACTGGATTTTCTGGTCCAGACTCGATTATTTACAGACCGCCATCATATAGCTGGAATATTGCTGAGTGCGGCGTTAAACAACAAACAAACCAAAATCCATAAATCCAAAAGGTATCCCCATACATTCAATCTGTATTCCTGGCAAAACCTGTGTCAGTAATAGCCTACGTTCTCAGCAATAGCACAGAGCCTCAAGAATGTTTTAGTTCAATACAGACAAGGAGACACTCCTAGTCCCTTGCTCTTCCTTGCCAACACAAAATATCCTACTGTCATGATCACTGCAAGGTCACAATGCAACCAGTATTGAACGTACTGGAAGGAGTTAAAAAGATCAAATCAGAACCAGGCAAGTTTGATCACAAAAAAAACAAAAACTGACAGTCATGGTTCTTGTTCATGCGGTAACATATTTGCTTCCAGCCCTACATATGTAATTGTGCCACACAGTATAAACACACATGAGGTTAATTATCCTAATTAACCACACCTTTAACCAACATTAACCAAATCTAACCTTTGAAAAAATCATGAAACAAATCAAAAGTTTTTCACACCTCTGCACAAACCACAAACTTTACCGCCCTAAAATGAATCAAAACATTAATTATTTATATTCAGTGTCATCTGAATCATTGCTCAACATGCTTTACAGGAAAAGAACTTTTTTTCTTAAGTTTCTCAACGTGATGTAAGAGTCAGTAGGTCACCAAGTTCTAAAACGTTGAGACTGTTTGATGTTGAATAATATTATCTGTACAAATAGGAAATTGTAGTGCATACTGTTTTGTTTTTGTTTAACTCACCAATATAGTCTGGACCAGACAATCCAGTGATTGACATTGTGAACAACGATCCATGTTGCCATTAATCAATCGAGAAAGAGAGAGACACACACAAACAGAATGCAGAGAGACAAGCAAAGGTTAATTGTAAAATTACAGTCAGATATTCAAAGTTAATCAATCATCAATATACCTCCTAACTTTGACCTTTGGGGCAGACATCATTAATTCTTAAATGCAACACTTTTACTGTTTATACAGGGACTATACATGAGGTACGAAAACACTATATTTAAGAGGACACACCTTCAAGAGGACAGCATGCATATACTATATGTTTGTTTATACAGTATACGATCCAGACAGCAGTGAGTCAGCGAGAACACGAACCACCATCCCAGATTACCAGCTAAATCAGAATGGGGTGTAGTTATTAATCTCTCCTTGCTAACACCCCAAGAAACAAGCTCCAGTAATATACATGGGCAGGCCAATAATTAAATCAGAGCAGTCACAGTTCTTGTCTTACAAGCCAAAATGCCAAGATGCAGAAGGCCTTGACTACAGCTTTTCAAAGAAGCATTGATGTTGGAAAAATCCAAACAGGTGACACACATCATGAGGATAGGTTTTTAATAAATCACTCAACTTATGATAGGGGTAGGGAGTATCCAGGTGGTGTCTGATAGCTCAGATGTTGTCATACGAATAGTATTTGATATTGCCATGGAACAGAAGCATGTGACAAATTCTTTTCAAATTGATTAAACATAAAAACACACTTTTATATAATAATAAGTTGTTGTAATCATTTTCCATCACAGTATGAAATTTCTCAGTACCCCTAACAAATATTGAGTAGAGTAAACTAAATTTATAACGAACACGCTTATAACGAACTGACGGATATAACAAACTTCTTGGTCCCGTCCATTTGCTGTATACATGCTGTACTTATGCTTATAACGAACAACGTATATAACGAATTACAATTAGTAGTCCCCTTGAGTTTGTTACAACAGTAATTTACTGTAATGTAAATTCTATTCATATTCTACTTCTGTAAAAGTGGGGACAAGTTCATCTGTTAAATAAGGAAGAATTTCAGCCTCATGTTACATTGTAGTCTGTGACTTCTGCCCGAAGACAAAATTCTGTTCAGTCTAGTAAGCTCAGCAAATAATAGTCCATATTATAATACTTAAATCTACTGAAAATAATGCTCAGAGCCAAGTTCGGGCTTGTAGACTCAATAGTTATTAGCACAGACTGAGATTGTACATATGCATTATACAGGGAAGTAGTATTTCATGATGACATGAATGACTGGAAACAGGACATAATTCATAGAAATTACAATGTAGTCAACACACACCTGTGTATTTCACTGTCATTCAAGAATGTTATCTTGCCACTTTTATTACAGTCAAACTAAAACTGAAACCTCAAAAATCAATATTTGACAACTGTAAGAAGGAAGATTTAATACCACATCATATAAAATAAAACACAATTTATTTAACTTAGGTAACATGTTTGTTAAACATAAATTAAGATCATAGAAGTAAATTTCAAAAGCATTCACTGAAACTAAGCATGATAAGTCAGTAGTGTTATCCTTTTTTCAAGATTTAGTATGAAATCCATGGATATAAGAACGTCAAAATATGGAAAACCATAACATTTTACACACAACTTTTAATCCTTGATCATGAACGTGATGAAAAAGGTAATAATTACAATTTCATGAGAATTGGAAATCTACATTGATAATGTAGAGGAAAAAGAATCTTACTGCATATTTTGATAGTGTGTAATCAATGAATGTTATGTGAGGTATATACATGAGTAAACCCTAATTATCATGCCCCAGGCTTACGACCAGGCACGGAAGAAGGAATCAACGAAAACGTCACAGACAGGTACTAATCACCACTGCTATGTGGCTGAACCTTTGACCTTACCTACAGAGTGAGTGAGTGAGTGAGCGAATGGGCTGTTTTTTTACATCAAGGTTATCAATATCTCATATCATTCAGGACACCAATAGGCAGGGTTGGAAATTATTTTATATATTCGCTAGTCGTGTAAACTAATCTTCCTCAGGTTGCTGTCTGCTTGATTGTAAAAGTGGCAGTCAAAAAGGAAAAGTCACTTTCCCTTCCTGAATTTCACAACTATTGGAAACAAGTAGTCAGTTACACCTTCACTTGTCACCTAACACCTCCCTTAGACCCCCTTCACACCCCATGAACAAAACTGTAAGTCAAACAATTAATGAAGTGCAAAAGAACATGATTTCCATTATACAGTAAACTACATTTATAACGAACACGCTTATAGCGAACTGACGGATATAACATACTGTTTTTTGGTCCAAGGCATTTGCTGTAAATATGCTTAGAAGGAACTATGGTTATAACGAACTAAAATTAGTGGTCCCTTTTAATTCATTATAACCGTAGTTTACTGTATAAAGATAGAGACTGCTGAAGTACATTCTAATCTCTTGTAACAACTCAAACATAAAAAGGAGTTTATCAGTCCAATTCTCCCAGAACAAATACCTCATAAACATGATAAAGAATTCTCCTGTCATACTGTCTAATTAACAGCAAGTACTAAAATCACACATAGCATTATTTAGTAGCTAGACCATCTCTCCTGGCCAAGCAGATGAGACAACACTCATTTGCGTTGAGGGGTAAATGTATAGCTCACACCAACATTTAACACCTTCACACCTTTCAGTGATAACATACCTTACAAATAAGCATTGATAGCAAAGCAGGTGTTCTTGGTTAATATTCATCATGTTCATGTGGTATTTTACGAAACGTTGACATAACACCATATATGATTATCACATATTATCATTGATCATAAAATTACCCATGAACCTACGATACATAGGATTCAGGAAATACCTTTCCCAAACCCAACCTAGAAAGGTTTGGCAGATGTGTTGTAAGATGCCTAAATTGTGTAAACAAAATGTTTAAAAAAGAACACGCGATTCAACGAATGATTTCTGATGTAAATTAACGAGCATTCGCTTCGTCGTATTAAGAATACATCCCTGTATTAGCGTCATATGATCCGGTTACAACTATTAGTGATATAACGCGGGGATTTATTCAGTAACACAAATCTTACAGTCTGACAAAGAGTTGAATTGGGGCGCCGCTACTCATGCGGAAGCGAAGAGGGTGTAACAGAAATACGTTGGAGCTTCATGTCACAGCGAGCAGGGTCACTAAATCACACCAAGTTGAATGTGGGACACTAGATTTCAACCAGCATTGCTCCGGTTGAGAAATCAAATACATGACTGCATTAATTGACTCGACTCAAGTCCATGACAGTAAACAAGCAAGTGGTTGATCGGAAATGAGTACTCACGATCCCTGGATATTCCAAGACCCCGCTGCTTCAATTCTGCCGATACTGCCAAACATCCTGCCGTCCACAAATGGGTCTAGATGGCAAGATCTTACATCCTCCTTACTTACTCAGTCGGGTACAGATATACATGGTTCCTACTAGGTCAACTGGTCTCTAAACGTGTGTCTGTAAGCTCCACACGTCTAGCAAACACAAATTACTCATTGCGGGCTCTGTAAATTAGAAGCCCGCAGAGAATGCGACACTTGGCTCTGATTGGTCAAAATTCGACAGGTCTTTCCGACTGAAGCGTCACTTTTCGTGTGTGTATGTGCCGAGTGTTACGTAACTAAATACACACACTGACAACTTCCCAATGCGTCCGTTGATTATTATTTGGAGATATGTCGGTTATTTACTGTGTAGTTTATTCACACACCAATTTCACGCCCGGCAGCGGATCTTTTTCTAATTTAATTTTGCCTAACATATTACAATGAACGATTATTGTATTTTAATTAAAATATTGATTGCTTATGTGATCAAGTTGATAAAAAACACACGAAACAACTGAGAATAATTTGTAGCATATTATCATATATATATACAATAATAAACGCATAAATGATCATAATTTTTATTTGACAATTTGAACTTATTTACCTATGTTACCTGTCCAGTGCGGACACAGGTATGTCCTATCCTGACCGATTAACCTAAAGCATAAATATTAACCTAAAATTAACCTAAAAATAAATATTCACGTATTAGAAATGGTCTGTGAGTGAGCTAGATATTAACTGGAATTTTTTATTTAATTCAGTCAACGTTCTGTTTATTATAAAGTACAATGTGTGAAGCCGTGATATTGCTGCAATATTGCTAAAAGCGGCGTAAAACAATACCCACTCACTCACTCTGTTTATTATCTAATGTTTATGGGGGAGGGTCTTTACCTTTCACCACATCATCCCAATTCACTACGTAGACATGCATACACTCATTACGACAGCCAGTCATATAAAGCTATCTTTTTTAATAATATATTATTACACAATAAAAAGTAAAATCCAAATGGAGCCAAAAACAATGCCACATCATTCTAGACGAGAGTTGGATTATGTTTAAATATTGTTTCAAAGGTGTGGGAGACAGATTAGATAAAGCCATAATAAATATATTATTAGATCTTCTTCCCCGCCCCTCATTACGAAACGCTTCACATCATGTCAGTGTTCCCGAGTACCTATGTACAGTCAATATGAAGAACCTTGCTGCATCGTCTCTATATGATGAAATACACCATTTGTAGTCCTACCAAACGTTTACGCTTCATGTGAACTACACCCACCAACAGATGAATGGAACAGCGTGTTAACAATATATGTAAAATATCACTCCCCTCATATTTAAAAAAAACAAACCGGAAGAAAAGCTAATAATTAAGTTATTATAACCTAATCTTGTTTCGCATGTAAAACGAGTTATTTTTAACAACACGTCTCTAACTTTTAACGTTTCATAAATAGAAGCGAATTAAAATACACACACACACTCACACACACACACACACACACACACACACACACACACACGTATATGCATACATGCTTAAATCAAAGACATATTGTATATATACGTCCGTGCTTAAATGTATATAACTGTCTCATATATCACGGTATAGCAGGGGTGTATGTAACACCTCGATCAGTTCGTCATCCCGACTGGGAGATAAGCACTCCAAACGGAAGAGACAATCACCCCGGAAGTAAGTCTAGCTGAGCGAGTAACAGTGGGCGAGGTTAATAGTGCTCACTTAGGCTTGCCCCGGGATACTGGTATTGTGGTCTTGAAAAGCGCTAATCTCCCGAGAATAATCATTATAGATAACCATCATAAAGGCGTGTGATAAGAAAGAGTTATATATATACCGTGCGTTATAATGAGGATGCAGTCTGTGGGAAATTTTGCCCGTTTTAACTTAGTGTTTTCTCGAGTTAAATTTAGATACGAAAATACAGGATATTTCATAATGCTCACCGAATCAAATGTGCAGTCAACCTTTTTCAATTTTAACAAGCGAAACCAGAGAAAAAGTTATCAATATTCTCGATAAATTATACTATGTTCAACATGCAACTAGATGTTTTCCCTTTTCATCGTGAATGGTCACATGCTAGACTTTTATTAGACCCAGAAAGAGTGTTATCTTATTTAAAAATATATATCTACAATTAAAATCCAAATGAAGCCCAGAAAATGCTTAATTTCAGAGCTGGGGCTGAGACTCTCCAAATGATTCCAGGCTTGAGCATGGGTCATCTTTTACTGTATCTTGGGTCTGTGAGACAGACCTGCAGTTACATGCAGTGTGGGGTACATGTCGTGACTCCCACACTGAACAGATGAGGTTGTGATGATACCGCGCTGAGACGAGGAGTCAACGATAGCGCCCGCTGAGCTCACGAATAAATGACACCATTTAGCTGCGTAGTCAGGTTTCATTTCCCTGTTAGACCGTCGGTATCTATATCACCATCTGTTTTACCCATTCAGAAACAGTTCAACATGCTACTGCAGGCGAAATCACTGCATTACTATTACACGCCTCGTGCGTACGTACAAGCGTACATGCATGTGTATATATATGTGCACACGTGTGTGATAGGGATATGTGAGGGGGTGGGGGTTGGGTGGTGTGTGTGTGTGTGTGGGGGGGGGGGGGGTTAGCCAGAAAGATGTGGAGATTGTTGGATACAGCAACAGATGGATGGATACAGTGGTAAACGTGTGAATGACAACATGATCCCAGGGAGACAGAGGTGGTGAATGAAGGATGGATTGATAAACAGTTTTGTAAGGAGATCACCAGATAGATAAAACATGGATACTGGATAAATATATGACTCATGATATAAAGTGTTAAAAATGTTGACAGTTTTAGCAATGATAGAACTCAACGCAACGATCTCTTCACAATAGTGTTTAATTGGCACTGCGTTTTCAGACGACATTGGTTACAGTAAAGATGTCTACTGGTGGATTGATTCAGACATACATGTGTCCGTTGATGCATTAGAAGTAAACTAGTAGCGTGCATGTATTGATATGTGTTTGGTGGACAGATACTAGATGCACTGGTGGACGCTAGGTTGGTAAAAAAAATGTACTAGATTGATGTATAAATGAAAAGGTGTATACTAGATTTGTGTATAAATGAACAGGTGGATACTACAATGATGTATAAATGAACTGGTGGATACTAGATTGATGTATAAATGAACAGGTGTATACTAGATTGATGTATAAATGAACAGGTGTATACTTGATTGGTGTATAAATGAACTAGTGGATACTAGATTGATGTTTAAATGAACAGGTGGTTACTTAATTTGTGTATAAATGAACTGGTGGATACTAGATTGATGTATACATGAACAGGTGGTTACTTAATTTGTGTATAAATGAACTGGTGGATACTAGATTGATGTATAAATGAACAGGTGGTTACTTAATTTGTGTATAAATGAACTGGTGGATACTAGATTGATGTATAAATGAACAGGTGGATACTAGATTGATGTATAAATGAACTAGTGGATACTATATTGGTGTATAAATGAACTAGTGGATACTAGATTGATGTTTAAATGAACAGGTGTATACTAGATTTGGTAGGTTGGTAAAAAAATGTACTTGATTGATGTATAAATGAAAAGGTGTATACTAGATTTGTGTATAAGTGAACAGGTGGATACTACAATGATGTATAAATGAACTGGTGGATACTAGATTGATGTATAAATGAACAGGTGGATACTTGATTGGTGTATAAATGAACAGGTGTATACTAGATTGATGTTTAAATGAACAGGTGTATACTAGATTTGGTAGGTTGGTAAAAAAATGTACTAGATTGATGTATAAATGAAAAGGTGTATACTAGATTTGTGTATAAGTGAACAGGTGGATACTACAATGATGTATAAATGAATTGGTGGATACTAGATTGATGTATAAATGAACAGGTGGATACTTGATTGGTGTATAAATGAACTGGTGGATACTAGATTGATGTATAAATGAACACGTGGATACTAGATTGACGAATAAATGAACACGTGGATACTAGATTGATGTATAAATGAACTAGTGGATACTAGATTGGTGTATAAATGAACTAGTGGATACTAGATTGATGTCTAAATGAGCAGGTGGATACAAGATTGATGTATATAATTAAACAGGTGGATACTAGATTGATGTATACATGTACTGGTTGATACTAGATTGATGTCATCAGTACCTTCTTAATAAAAACGACAACAGCATTTCCACAATCATAAGAAATACTAGAAGAAAAAGCAGAGTTCATTGGACGATTCCGACTGTAGCATAAGCACGTGTTTTTGTATCACTCTCAAATAGTTATGATACAGGTGTTTGCAAACGGTGAGCATATCCTTGCCCACAGTAGGCACTCGTCACAAACACACGCAAGAGCATGTCAATTGTTCACTGGGAAAAAAACCGGAAACATACGGTGCAAGTCAAAATAGGGAATTGCGTCAGACGTCATTGTTGTCACGGATGCGTCCAATTTGGAAATGTCCCCCACATGTCTACCATAAAACGTTTGTAAAGCTTGATGCGTAGATTGTTATTACCCTCATCAAACAACTCTTGAGCTCTTTGGAATCTTAGTAGAAAAAGCCTCCTAGATTGTACCTCACAAGCTGTTAAATGTATACACGGGCTGGATCTGCTGGAATCTTGCTGGTCATTAAGGGAAACTTGACTATTATAAAGTATGAAGTCATCCCTATTTTCATACAGTCTTGTTGAGAGGGGTTTTTTTGTCACTCTGAAACTTTATGCATGGACATTTGAAACAGATGAGGCCGTTTTACTGGTCTCTTTAATATCTAGTTCTGGTGGGTAAACCAGTGAAAGGGAATTGGCTATTTGACCATCAATGAACGACATCAGATCAACGATATATTTGAAGCTTTAGTTAAACTTTTTGGCCAGATTTCCTTGTTTTGATTTCACCAATCCGAGTAGAAATTCAGACTCATATATCAGTACGTTAAGTAACAAATGCCCCATGGATCAAGGAATGAGGTTATTCCTTGTCATGTGGGATAGGAGTGTACAAAGTTAAAAAAAAATGGTTCTTTTCTGACACTGCAGAAATAAAAAACAAACAAATCCTTGCGTTTTTGAGTTTGAGAACCAACCTGCTATTTTAATTCAAC